TGACTTGCAATACAGTCATAAGATTCTGTGTCTACGGACAACCATAGGAAAATTTATCCATAGAAATCAACTTTTATTTTAAAAATAAAATAAATAAATAATAAAATAAAAAAAGCTGTCAGACCATATTTGACTTGTAAAGAAACTTAGTTTCCAGCTGGCTTAAGTACATGCACATCTTTTATTTATCCTGGGAAACATTTGCATACATTAAAAAAAAATCCCCAAAATAATTTTTTAGTAAGTGGTTTATGATGACAGCATTTGTATTAACTTCATATACTGTATATTAAAATAAAACATTTCAAAGTCCACCTTTACCTCAATCCAAACCAGTGACTCTTGACACTTCAGAAAATGAATCAAGAATTATTCTGTTTTTTTCAGGGGAAAATGCACAGATATTATATTCAATAGCAGAGGGAGCAGGGTCTGGTCTTTTCTATGTTTGTCATGTTCTGAAAGATGTATTATACAACTATAGCATTTAGAAAGACCTTTAAAGTAAGACAGATAATATAATATACCAAACTACAGATTTACAAACCAGAGCCCCGATTGTGATGATGTTTAACTATATGCTTAACTTAATAGAAATGAACAATTAATCTTGGATTTTAAAGCATAGAAACATCTGGGGTTTATGTCTCTCAAAGACATTAAATAAGCTGTCATCATAATACCTATTTAAAAAAAGAAAAGAAAAAAAACCCAAAACACTAAACCAGAACACTATGGTCCTTTTTGACATAAAATCACAGTAATTAGAGCATCAGCACCCAAACATGAATCACTACGGAATATAATTTTAATTCAACTAAAGATTTTTAAACAGATATTTAAATATCTGTTTAAACAGCTATTTGAACCCTAATACATTTAGATGGATGCTGCTTTAGGTTTATTTAAATATTTTACTGAAAGTTTAAAAAGAATGTTTCAACTATAGTACATAAAAATGTAACCAACAGTACACCCAATTAAAATTAAAAAAGCACAGAAACTCAAATTTAAGGTTGAAATTCTAGAACAACTCACTTCTATTTGTTTGTATTATAACTTCTCCATCTCCCCACTAAGGAATGTGAAATTCACCTATAAACTTAATCAATAAGCTATTTAAAAAGAAAAAACAAACAAACAAACCAAACCCCAAACCCTAAGCCTATATTTCTTTTGGAATTTGAGATTTCATTTTAGCCACCACCATTTGAACAGTACCCTAGAGAGACATATTTCCTTCCCAGCATGGTCCATTATTGCTTGATGAGAGCCCACAGTGACTTTTTGTCCAAAATAACTGCTTTGGACAAGGTTTGAGGAAAAAAACTCAATATAAAACCACGTACAATTATGTTTCATTTCAAGAAAGCACTGAATTGATCTGAATTGTATCATACTGTATTAATTTTAATGCCACTCCATAGGCAAGTATATATTACGTGTTGAAGGAGATGTGCATATACACAAACACAAAATACATACACAGAATTCAGCCCAGATTAATGTATCTTCATTTAATTTCTAGCATAACCACCGAGTAATTTTTTTGTACTTTAGAATTATGTGGAAAAATGAGAATAGGCACAATTAATTAATACAGCTTCTATGTTACCTTATTATAGTGCACTATTACGCACTGATAATACCATAAACCCAATATGATACCATTCAAGCTCATTGTTCTGATGTACAGGTAAAGTCTAGTAAATAGGATTCTAAGTGCTCTTTAACTCAAATGCACAACTTCTGCAGCTTTACACAGTAGAACAGTGCAATACATTATGTCCCCATATTCCAGGAACAAGAGCTGAGCTGACAAGTGTACGTGTTTCACATTAGACTGGCTTTGCACTTTTGCAGCTCTAGCACTTCAACTGCTTCATCTGTGACCTCCTTTTGTTCCCTTTCCTTTTCCACAATCTTTTTCCAGGTGCTGGCTATAAAAAAAATATTCTTTTGGTAACTAGCTCTCACCTGGTAGAACAAGACAGTTTCGAAGTAACGGTACAGCAGAAGTTCTTTTAGAGGGTTGGTTCACAGTGCTAGGGTGACCCCGATCTCCACTTACTTCCCAGTTCCTGACTTTGGATGAAGCTCGCTCTGGCTTCTTGGGAAAAGATTCTGATGTGACTTTCTGCCTCTTTTCAGGAATCCCTGTGACAACTGTTGAGTTCAGAAAGGTCCTTTTTGGTTTCCTCCTCATATTTAATTTTTTAGCATCAGGCTTTTCTTTCTTAAGGTGCTTTCCCACTGTAGTTTTTCTTGTCTGGCACCTATGGATGGAGAAAGCAGAAGACTTCTGGGCACGAGGACGAAGATTTCTCCTCATCCCCTCTTTTTGCTGTTTTTTAGTTCTAGAAGTTTGTTTGCCTGTGGTTACTCTGCTTCCTCTCATCCCAACAGCACATCTGACAGACAGAGGTCCTGCAGCCTTTCTGGAAAAAACTGGTTCTTTATTGGTGCCTTCTTTTTTCTTCCATATTGCCTTTGGATTCTCCCTCTCTAAACGCTCACTCCTGATGGAGGTCAGAGGAGTTTTGGTAACTCTGTTAAATGGAGTTAATCTACCATCTCCTTCTACTGCAGACTGGTGAGAGTTCAAAGGTGAAATGATGAGGTGTTTAAAAGAGTTCTCAGAGTGACCAGATACCAGACAATCTGTTCTTTCAGTGGAAACAGAAGATCCATCTGCCTTTTGACTCAAGGCTGCATCATTCCCTTTACCTGGATCTGGCAAGAAAGACGCTGAAGATGAACTATAGAAGTCCGACCAATTGAGTGACTTTGATGGCGTGCTTTCTCTCTGTGCATCAGCTAGTTTCCTCATGTTTGCATCGAAGCTGAGACTTCTGAAAAGCTGTCGAACGTGGGAGGGCTTTTTGGCTTTTTCTCCAACTGTACTCTTTGGAGGCGTTTTCAGAATTCGATTTGTCAGTGGGTCATAATACTTCAAAGAACACTGTTTGTATTTATACCTTACAGAGTCCTTGCTATCTGTGGAGTTACGATTTTTCCTCATTTTGGGAATATCTATAGGTTTACCTTTACATTGTTTTATCTCTGGGCACGAAAGTACATACACCACTGTCTTGGGCTGTACAGGACTCATAATCTTGCTATAGGACTCAGGAAGTTTAAGGGCACATAGTCTAGTTTTCATGTTTGGAGTTTTTTCATTCTCTGGCCACATGATGCTTGCTTTCTGATCAGCTGGATCAGATTGCCTTCTAGACATTTTTCTTTTTGCTACAGGGTAGTTCAATAGACTTGTTTGGGTGCCATGGCTGACTTTAACCACCTGGCACCTTGAAGCCAGGCGCCATGTCCTTTTCCTAGGCATTTTAAGAATTTGTGGGTTGCATAGTGTATCTGAGGCTAAAGATGGGTTATCAAAATCAGAGCCACCACTTAAAGCATCATTAAATTCTGGCAACGCTTTAACTGATGCTCCTTCTGTTCTATTACCCTCAACCACATTCTTTTTTTCATCCTTCTGCTTTTTTTTCTTCACTCTCTTCCCTATACAGTTGGCTGAGGATTCACTGTCAAAGTAGCAGCGAAAACGACCCTCCCTGAAATCACGCACAAGTTCTTCAATTTTTATATCATCTTCATACATAATTTGAGACCAAGTCTTTCCCACAAAAGAAGGAGGCACATGTGGCAGAGCTGGAAGAACTGGTTCTTCAGTATTAACTACGACATCCTGTTTCACTATTTTCTCCACTGACTCACTTTTTAAAACAGAAGAGAGCTGTGTTCCATAGTCTTTATCCTGCAAACTTATTTGGACCTCTTTTAAGAATTCTATATCTTTTATAGCTGCCTTGGGTAAGTCTGTTCGTGCCTGAATAGGTGCATCACAGTCAAAACTCATTTCAGAACTCTCTAAATAAGTATGGTCCAGAAGTGATGAAAAAGTTAAATAGGGTTTATTCTCTTCTTTGAAATAAATTTCTTCAGACGTAGTTCCATGGCAGTATTTCAAGATAACATCTTCAATGGTTTCATCCACTGAACTTTCATCACCTTTGTTCGTTGTCATGTTTTTGCATCTTGCTAGTTGTGGGGACGTCCCAAGATGTAGGGAGCTGCTGATACCCACAGTATCCCTGAGATGGAAATCAGACACCAAAGTTTCATCCTGAGTTCGTAAACCATCTCGTTTTGAGAGAGATTGACCTGAGGTAATAGGTAAAGAACTGCTGTAGCTGCACATAGGATTCTGATGAGAAACTGAAGGGCGTTTTTGGTGAACCAGTGCCGGAGCAGGATTCAAGCATGGGTTCAGTAACACATCACTATTGCATACCTCCACTCCTGTTTTATCACATCCTCTACGTGGAATCGGACTTGATGCTGCCAAATTCCTAACGTTTTTTCCTGTTTTCGGATTAACAGAAGACCTATGGATTATAGGACTGACAGAAAAAGGCTGAGGTACAGGGCTCACAGCTGTAAACTGGCCTTCGTGGCTCTGATTTGCAATTTGAGCATCTTTCAGGGCATCCCATTTCTCATTGCTACAAATGCCCACAGACTGCTGCGGTATTCTTACAGCATATTCCTGCCCTCTTTCTAGCTTTTGAATAAATGCTTGTGTTACAGAAGTTTTCTTTGTGCCCTCATGAGACAGGCAGGGAGCAGAAGAGCATATTTCACCAATGGACTCCTGGTCTTTGCCGGAAATCTCCTGTCTGTCTGTGTTCCTCTTTTTCTTCATCTCTTCTGGGGACTGGCAAGCAATCCTAGCAGCCTCTGGAGTGACAGGGAGTGGCATGTCATCATAGGTTGGTCTAAAGAGAAGAGGAAAAACCCCACCTTATATAAATACTGTAAACATGCTTAAGATTTTTCAAATTTTTTTTTTTTTTTAAAGAGTAATTACCTAGAGTAATCACACCTAATGAACAAACTCAACTTACTAGCTCTGCTACTTTAGCAAAGGTATTCCATTTTAAAAAAGGGCAGAGGGTGAGGGGGGAATGTTCCACAAAGCTAAAGGTAAAAATTCGGGCATTAGTTGGTTACCATCTTCATGCAACTAACCACTAAGAACGGCCAAACACACATTATGATCGCTTTGTAAATATAGCAAAGTAAAAAAAAATTAAAGATATTGCCTTTGTTTGAAGTTGTGAGCTTATAAAGAGATTATTTCACTGGTAAAACTATCAATTAATATTGAGCTTTTGTAGAGAAGTGGAACATTACAATATGGTACAGTATAAAAATACTATTGAGTATAAATGCCACTTTCCCTC